CAACAACAACAACAACAACAACAACAACCAACAATAGCAACAACCAACAATAGCAACAACCAACAACATCATCAACAACAATAACAACAACATAAATATAGACAACAACAATGGAAATAATAGCGACAACAACAACAAACAACAATAATAACAATAACAACTCAACCAACAAACAACGATAATAACAAACAATATATAACAAACAGCACAACAACAAACAATGTAAGAAAGAACAAAGAGTACAACAAACAACCAACAATATAACACCAACATAGACCCCAGATAGCAAAAACATGCAACCTGTCTCCTCCACGTGCACAACCAGCTCACACCAACCCCCAACACCAATAACCCGTCTCGAAAACGCGCACGGGCAATTCATTATTACTTTAAAAAATCACAGAACTTCGCTATCTAGAGAAATACAATAAATCCCCAATTATAAAAAATCCCAATATATACGCCAAATCACTACCAAATTCTCCGCGACACAAAATAAAATCGAATAAAACACAATTAAAACCATTATCTAAACCATCGAAATCAAACACGAAAAAATTACCACCCCCCAATATATAATTGCTAAAGATAATCAAAACAAACTATAATATACCTTTCATAATTAAATCAAAAAAGGAAAACACATATATATATATATTAATTTAGACAAATTCCACAATAACCAATAAAATCATCACATCATATATAATCGAATAAAATTAAGTATATCCTTATCCCCCTTCCAATTCGCACTTACACCCGGACTGTCAATTCTTTAGGAGCCCCCAGGTTCAATATCCAAAAGTTGCACTAAAAAATCAAAAAATTCTCTAAAGAATCAATAGCCAGATTGCATCTGCTAAAGAGTTGGAGACTCGAAAGAAAAGCTCAAAAAGGCCTAAAGAATTGACAATCCGAGTTCGAGTCGAACAAAGTCAACTCATGCATGTATTTCTTAATAGACTATTATAGATTATCAGATTATCAATTATCATCATCGTTATTGATCTTCAGCTTCACTGTGAATCCAAATGCGGTTAGACAAAAACTTGCAAATTATTGGAAATTTATATAATCCTGATATGTCCTGATACATCCTAATACCATTTATAGATGATCCTGGTATGGTCTCTGCATCTGTGTGTTAAGCCCATGCTAGGATTTGCAAATCTGGCTTTGCAAAAATTCTTTTCTCTAAAAAATCCACCCCATTCTCGAGCTAACGCTCGACAACCAAAGTCTCTAATAAATCAACCCTCTCATGGCCTGATAGAAAATGGGAACCCCCAGGTTCCAGTTGTAGACTGGCATTGTATATGTTCATCCGATTTTGTTTTTTTATGACAACCCGGGTTGTCTAATTTTTTAGAGGAAATTTGCACAGGGATATACTATTCATCAATATTCCTCAGGTATATATATATATATAGAGAGAAACATATTTATATACATATTCTATCGGAACATATTAATTCTATTGTATTTATACTATATTATATTATTGATTTTGCAATAGATCATCAATATATTTATTGGCATATATATCTTCATATCTTCATTTTTTGAGGAAATTATTCCTAAGATATCCGTCTGCAGCTTTGTTCCATTGCAAAGCGAGAAATCCGTCGCCAGATCCCATTGAAAGCTCCTAAACATGAACAAGTGCTCAAGGTACAGCGCTAGTGTTCGAGTCAGAAGCGAACATAATTTTGTATTATACCTGGAACCTTCCAGCCTTCTGTCATCTTCTGTCATCAACAAGCTTGTTTTCCGAAAATCACAGACTCTCGGCCTCAGCTTCAAGACCCTCCGACCAACACGCCTTCTGCGGTGGCAAGGGCAGGTTGAAGGGAAGGTCTTCGACTGGAACGCACTGAGGCATGTCCTATATGACAAATCAGTCGACCAAGGCCCAAGTCGTGCCACCAACGCTGCAATCAGATCGAAAAGGTTTGACTTTTCGAGTGGGTGAAGGATGCACATCTAGAATCTCTCTGACACAAAACCGCGCTGCTTGCCAAGTTGGACTGAAACCATGTGACGAAACCTCTTGAAAACATGCGTGCATGTTCCGGCACAGTCTCATAGATGCCAATTAGTGGATTTTTGATGATGAGTGCCAGTGCGTAGGATGCAAGCAAAGTCATCATCATCTGGTCCTCAGCCTGCACGACATCCTTTGCTTGAACTTCCTGAGCATTTGCGGAGTGTGCAGTCGACTGCACCAGAACATCCCCGTACAATATCAACAGACTGCACGACATGACTACACAGCACCTTCTGCTGAGGTGCCACTGCCTTTGGCCCAAGGCCCTCTTCCAACAAACGTGCGATTTCCGGCTCAGAGAGGAGGTGCGCAGACGCCGGCGATGTGCTGCACAGCGGCAAATAGTCCTCCACCAGAAAAACAACAACCTGTAGACACTGTAGGACGGGACTCTCGGAGTTGAATGGGCAACTGCATTGATCTGCAGTCGAAAGAAACCGTCGGGGTCATTTGATTTGGTCTTTCCGCTGGAGTTAACTGAAATCATCGGGATTCCCGCATCTGCGGTGCTAACAAACATGCAACTCCTGAAAGCATGGCTCTGCACAACTAGGAGGTGCTGGTCGAAGGCCCTTCCTTGGATGATTGGCAAACAAAGGCGAACGCACGCAAACAAGATCACAAGGTGCTCCAAGTCTGGGTGCACTCCATCACCCAAAAAATCCTGCTGCAAAATGTTCCTTTCATGTTCCTCTATCGCTTACAAGGGTGCCTGGCCCAGCAAGCCATGTTGGCCTGTGGGCCCGTCGGTGACAATCCAAAAGGGGCTTGGTGCCAGCGGGGATCCAGTAATTGAAGAGGATCACGTTGCGTGGCGCGTGCGGCTCTGGCTCTTTCAGGCCGAATGATACTGCTCCATGTCTGAGATCCTCGAAGCAGTGAGCACGACGTCGGCACAGTTGAGGCCATGGGTGAGCAAGTGAAAAGCAAATTCATCTCCCACCTGTTCTTGTTCCGTGGCGAAACCAATGATACACAGTAATTCATTAACAAACTCCCATATAATTTATAGAGGTTAAAAATGGTTAAAGTATGTTCAAGTTGTTTGAAGGTTGCCCACCGGCTGGCTAGGAACTTCTTGATTTTGCTGCTCCGCCTCGCTCGCAATCCAAGAGTCTCCCCCAAACGCCAGCCACCGATTCGATGAACAGCTCGATATCCAGCCCCGTGAAGGGATCGCTGGATGATTCTTCTCCATCTCCATGACCTGCGCCAGCCCGAACTGCCCGTTCCGAGCCGACCTGCGCATCCGGGCGTCCCAGAACGGACCTGCGGACGGAGCGGAGCTCCGGGGCGGCGGATCTTCGGGTTCCACGGGTCCTCTGAATTGGAGCCACGTCCGCATGTGCACCGGCAGGCCAGTGAAATATCAGGAACTTGAGGAAGACGGAAATGAATTTTGCAGGCTTGACTTCTCAACTTTGGCCCAAAAAATACCTCGCCTGGTCCAAGACCATGGTAGGTCCTCCAAGACTTCCCAAGTAAAGGACGCTGGACCAGCCTGGGCCGAGCATTCGAAGAAGCTGTGCTTGGCTCGCCGCCCACGAGTACGCCCTGGGGAGAAACGAGGCCGCCCCCGAAGGGTATCCTAATTTTCAAAGCGGGGGGGGGGGGCCCCTACCTTCCCGCCCAGGGCCGGGGGGGGGGGGGGGGGGGGGGCCCCCACTTCTCTTCTTCCCGGGGGGGGGGGGGGGGCCTACGACTACTACTATTTCCTCGTAGCAAAGGATCCTTCTTTAAGGCCCTCGTAGCACAGGATCCTTCTTTCAGGACCTCATAGCACAACAGGATCCTTTTGAGGTCCTCGTAGCACAGGATCCTTCTTCAAGGCCCGGGGGGTGGCCACGACTACTACTATTTCCTCGTTGCATAGGATCCTTCTTTAAGGCCCTCGTAGCACAGGATCCTTCTTTAAGGTCCTCGTAGCACAACAGGATCCTTCTTTAAGGCCCTCGCAGCACAGGAACCTTCTTTGAGGTCCTCGTAGCACAGGATCCTTCTTCAAGGCCCTCATAGCACAGGGAGGGGGGGGTGGCCACGACTACTACTACTTTTCCCAATTCGAGGGGGGGAAGGCTACTACTACTACTACTACTACTTTTCCCACTCTTTGAGGCCCTCATAGCACAGGATCCTTCTTTAAGGCCCTCGTAGCACAGGATCCTTCATTAAGGCCCTCGTAGCACAGGAGCCTTCTTTAAGGCCGTCGTAGCACAGGATCCTTCATTGAGGCCCTCGTAGCACAGGA